CCCCAAAACCCCAAAACCCCATAAGGCCATCTTTGCCAGCTATTATGTATACTAAAAAGAAAATAACAATGTAAGTTATGAAATTAAATAAGAATTGACGATTATTATTTGATGATTGAAGTAGTTAAATCATTTGAAGAGTTCCTGCTTGTACTTAGAATCCACTTTGATTTAGTTAGTGATGACTGCATCTAGGATAAGCCACTCATCGAACTCAGCGATTACTCTATTAACTGCATTGATTGAATATGCTTCATTCAATCTCTCCTATTCACAGGATTTGCAATAAGCAAAGTATTCAATCTGATTCAATGATTTGTAGACGCTTTTGAAGAATAATCCAAGACAACCTGGATGATACTTTCCACCATATTTACAAAAGTATCCACCTTTACATTCAACCATAGTTTTTTCTTTTTTGTGACAAATGCAGAACATAGATTCTTTAATTTGTACCTTTGGATTCATTTTTTAGATAAGCTTTATTCTAAAGTCTTTTCTCTTGTGATAGAAGAACCGCCAAAGAAACTTAAACTAACCTGATATAATTATTCTCTTGATTTTTCTGAATGTTTCCCATGACTCTCTATTTTCATACATCATATCAGCAAATACTCTGTCAGACACATTAAATCTCAGAGATTTCAGGATGCTTAGGACTTAGTATGACTAAATATTATAGGATTTAATAAGGGATTTGCAGGGAAACAACTTTGGATCCATCAAGTGATCATAGTTTGCTTATTTTGGAGGAATAACCTAAGACTCTTCAAAAGCATAAAAGTCTTTCAGTTTTAAGAGGGTAATTGTGACTATACCAGTATGCTACCATTTAGTTAGGATTCCTCTGCACTTATCAATTACAATCATATTGTTATTAATGATTTTCTTGCAGTTAAGGATTGAATCAGATCTCTCTGGACTAGAAATTTTAGCTATATCATAAGATATTGCATTCAATCCAGGGATTTAGTTTCTACCATCTTATTTCAAAGTCATAGTAGCCAAGTATTTAGATGTTCTAGTAAAAATTAAGTTAAAAGGGGTAAATTTACCTATGATTGCTACATTAAATTCTGCTTGTAATCTGTTTATCATGAGAAACTTCAAATAGAAACTAAAAGTGAGCTTATACTGCACAGAATGCATGAAAATATTGTCTGCAACATTTATTGTTGCATGATATTAGTACAAATCCTTAAGGACTGTGGCAAATAATGCACAATGATTACCCTTTGAAAGCTAATCTCTTTAAGGGCAGAACAATCTTTTCATCACTGTATCTATTCTTGATACTGTAGAAATAAAAGCAAGTCTCATGGCAGTGCACAATATTCAAACCTTTTTCATCAGATATTTTCATTGTTGCTTTACCTTAGCTGCATAAGTCACATCTATACTTAGACTCACAAGAATGAAATACCTTCTTCCACTCATTGAACTTCATCTTCATCTTTCTAATACACGAGTCATGAATGTAGACATCACATTTCTCACATTTCCGCATAACCTCATCCTCTAAAGTCGTGTAAAACATATTACATGCTTAGCATCTCACATCTGGAGATAATCTCTTATGACAGTAGAGTTGGTGGATTTCACTTTATTTCATGCTTCTGTGAAAATGCTTTTTTTACTCCCATCTCATTAGAGTTAAGATGGAAACTTTCTTCTTGAGAAGATGCTCATTGACATCAAGATGTGCATCTATTTTTATTTTAAGTTCTTCTAGTAAACCTTGAGAAGTGAATTACTAAGATTGTAACTCATCCTCAAGGTTGAGAATCATATAATCCACCTTTTAGAGAATAAACAAATTTTAAGTTACAAAGTTCTGACGAAAATCGATAGGCTTATGAACTTATTCATAAGTGTTAAAGACTATTTAATAAATATCTTGAGAGTTTATGTCATCTTAGATTAGTTCTTCATTTTAGTCTAATGTTATCCTCAATTGATTAAAATCTTACTCTCTTATTTTATCTGAATAGAGTTCATAGAATTGCAAAGATACTTATGCTACTTTCCTTTAATTTTAAGAATTATTATCAATTTTATTTCAAACTCAATTTACAAATATTAAATCTTGAGGGGTTTTGGGGTTTTGGGG